TGGCCAAGGGGAGAGTCTGCTGGAAATTCTTCTCAGCCTCTAGCAGGACGTGGGCCATAATTAAGGACAATGACTGGATGACAGCGCTCCTCTCTTAGGCTTTAGTTTCTAGGATGCTTATGAGCCCATGAAACGCAGAACCTGTAAGAACCTAAAATTCACAAAGGCTGATGTGGTTGCTGTTGTTGTTTTAACTAGGTTCCTTTTATAGCTTGAACCTATTTCTACTTTGCACTGATCACCAGGTATATGAATTCCTGAAGTGGTCAGCCCTGAGGGCTGGGGCGGTGGTTTAGAAACTTTTGTATCCTCTTTGCCTTGCACTCTGCATGGTACATGTCCACTAAATGCCAACTGGATCAACACACTCAAATGTAGGAAAATACTGGATCACTAGAGTCTTTGGGCACTGAGAGCATCAGAAGGGGTCAAGGTTGCATGGGTGGATGAGGCAGCAGAAACTCCAGATGGAAAGTCGAAAGGAGTCCCCTGAAGGCTGAGCACACCAATGTCTAGAAGGACCCAGATACTAGGGGGAAATAACTGTTTTCTTTTTAACCACTAAAAATGTATTAACTACCTACTGAGTACCCTCTGTGCTTGGCACTGGGGAATCAAAGACAAATGACTAACAGGTCCTCTTTTCCAAAGGACTTCATATTTATAAGGAATTATTACTCAGAATGACAGGTACTATAATAATGATATATTTAATGACAGACAAGTACAGTGGGGACAAGGGAGGGGTTAATCAGACCTTATCGCCCCCCTGCTTAAAACCCCCAGTAGAATGCCACTGCACATGAAATAAAATCCAAATTCTCTACCCCAATGGACCAGGCTCCTGCCGAGTCCCTTCCCCTCTCTAGCCTCATCACCCACCACATCATCCTTTACTCACATGACAAGCATTATTTCAGACCTTGAATACAGCAAGTCCCTTCTTACCCCAAGACCTGGCCCCCAGATCTTTTTACTTGGCTGTGTCTTCCTCTATCATTCAGGCCTCTGCTCAAATATCACCTCCTTTGGCCACTATCTCATAACTCCCTCTCTTCCATTACTTTCTATGCCATTGCCCTGTTTTATTATCTTCACAAACCTTTTAATTATCGGAAGTTACATTGTTCATTTCTGTCACAAGTGTATGTTCACGATATAGCCCTTCCAATATTGTAAGTCAGCCAGGCAACTGCTTGGCTAGGTGCCTACTGAGCAACCTGGCACCAAAGAATAGACAAGAGTCACACGAGGTAACTGTGCAATTCACTTAGCTTTTATTGAATGCAGGTTCACTCAAAGTAGAACATCAACATATGTTAATATCGTATTCACACTCTTAACAATCTAAGAGAAATAACACACACACACACACACACACACACACACACTCACTCACTCACTCACTCACTCTCACAGCAATCAATGGGGAATAATGAATCCAAGTCCCAGAGTCTCAGTCATCAGGTCCAGGAGACAGCACAGTGGGAAAGGGAGTCATCGACATCTTGCAAGGCAGGATCCCTGGATCCAGGTGGACACGGGGCAAAGTCCTCAGTCCAGCAGGACAGAGCCTCCTGTGGCCGAAACTGAGGGAGATCAGTGTGGCACGGAGCAGCACTCTGGTGTGTGGAGCTCAGCTGTCTCAGCAGTGGTCTGAAGCCTACCTCAGTTATACCCTTGAGAGTGGTGTACTCCACCCTTCTGGGTCTCTCGATAGGTGTCTTGGCACCCCTGATGGCATGTGGGGAATTTCCCTAGGAATCTCTCTATGGATGGTTCTGCTCTGCAGACATGGCTATTCTGGTCAGGTGCGCAAATATCTTAGGTGTGTCTCCTTGCCAGATGTGTCTGGTGTGACTTACGTAGTTTCCCTCTTGAACCAAAGCATCATGGCCGACTGGAAGTCATCTTGGTTGACATGAGTGACTCCTTTTTGTTTTATATCCTTTACGCTCTCTTGATCGGACCACTGCCAGTTTATTAGTCCTGCTCTCCACAGTTTATTAACATAATTATGTCTGTTTCCCTCCCCTTTCCATTAGCCCCTCCTCCCAGTCACTAGAATGGGGGGCTTCCTGAGAGCAGAAAAGGTTGTTTGGCTTGGTCATTGCTCCATCACAGTGCCTGGAGCATTGCCTGGAGGCCAGCACGTCACAGAAACTCATCAAGCATGATCTTGCTCTGGGAAAGAGCAGATTCACCAAAGAAAAGTTACAGATAAAAAATAAGCTAAGGCTAAGGAAGGCAGTTAGGGCCAGTGTCAGAGTTCTGGTATTAGCATAAACAGTGCAGGTGTAGTGTGGCCACGAGGCCTGAGGCGTGACACGGCCCAAGGCTGTTGATTGCAAGGAGTAGGACTCAAGCACCGGAGCCTAGAGCTAGAAAGCGGGGTCAGACACTACTTCTACCAGTTCAATCACTTCCCAGATGTGTGGCCCATGCAGTCACCTAACCCCACAGTACCTCCATATCTTCATTTTAAAAAGAGCTGATAATACTCTCTATAAGGAGAATATAATAGTGCTTTCTTCATAGGCTTGTGTGAGGATTTAATGACTCATTCTGTAGAAAGTGCCCAGTAGTGCCTGGTTTATAGTTGGTTAAGCATTTGTACTGTGCACTAGAGAAGAATTGCTGAAGAGTTTGAGCAATAGGGTAATGGGATTGAGATTTGTATTTTAGGAAGTTCATCAGGCTGGCAGTGGGAGGATGGACTGGAGGCGACTGAGAAATTAGTCAAGGAAACAATTGTGTAGTCAAGACACACCAAGGCCAGGCAGTGGCAGTGGCAGTGAGGATGATGCAAGAGTCATTAAGACAGTGGCCTCGGTCATCAGTCTGGGGACTGAAATGAAGCAAAGAGACAAGTAGGTCATGATTCCTGGACATGGGACTTGGGTGATTGGGTGGCTGGTGCCATTCACCCATACCAGAAATACGGGAGGCGGGCCAGGTTTGGGAGCCAGGGTGGGGAGAGGGGGAGAGGAGGCATCTCTTTTCAGCTGTGGCAGGTTGGCTTCGAGTGCTGTGGGAACTCCAGGCACAGCCACTCAGCAACTCACCTCTTCCTAGATTGCAGTATGAACTCACGTGCTAAGCACTGTACTTATTGGTACTTAATAAATGTTAGCACCTAATATTTAGTGTTTATAATTTTTGCTTTTAAAGCAAATACTATAAGGAATATTTTTGTCCACAGCTGAGGGTGGGGTTTTTTTTTTTGCTTTGTTTTGTTTTTAAGATTTCTGTAAGTAAACTTACTGAAGCAAAGGTATGTTACGTTTTAGAGATTTTAATTCATCTTACCAAACTGCTTCTCAAAAAGGTTGTACCAATACCTATTCTCACAATAACCTGGGATTCTTTAAAAACAGTTGTAATATTCTTTTATAAGCACCACCTCCAAATTTGCAAGGGTATGGGGAATATACCTTATGGGAAACAGTCACCTTGTGTGCTAACTATGGACATGACCACCAATGTCAGCTCCATCCTTAAAAGTTGCTAGTTGCCTTTGTCCAAGGGAAATGCCTCTAATAATCACCTGTTATTAATTAACTTGTCAATACCACAACCCCAACTATATTCTTGAAACCATGGCAGTAAGTGAAATATAAACACTGCATGCATAAATACTCCTCTGAGGTTTTGGATGGGGGAATAAGGAAAATGTACTCAGTGAATATAAATCTCCACTTTACCAAACTACATTATTATAACAGTATTTCTCCCCAAAGAACGGGTTTCTTGCCACTTTCCTTACCATGATTTAGTGTATGCACATGCATGGAAATCCCATTTCCTTTGAATGAATAAATGCCCGATGAGAGGGCACCATTCAGTAGTCAAATACAATTTTAACACAGAATAAACTAAAATTCCTTTTTAATGCAGATAAAATAGAAAAATCTATTCCCTTAAGACAATGATTTGGTTGGTTCTACAAGTGATTATCATGAATGGTTGGCCATTTGGATGCTTCCGAGGGCTGTTACTGCATTTCGAACACTGATCACACACAGCTGACACACCACAGAGCGGCAGTACCTGGGGAAGCCCTTGGTAGGTTCAGTATCCCTCTCTGTGAACACCTGCTTTGTGTTTATCAGACTTCCATTGGCACATAATATAGTTTTCAGTCTGTTGTCTTTTTAAAAGAGTCCTTATAAAGGAAACATGGGTAGATTGTTTTTGCCCAGGTGTTGTATGGAATGTATGGGGGGAGTGAACTGTTTTTTAAACGTATTTGTCAGAACTCTGGCCTCTGGGGAACAAAAAAGTTTCCTAGTCAAACAAGTTTGGAAAACTCTGACTCCTGTTATCTTCAGCCCCTTGAATATTCACAATGAGCTGACAGCTCTAAGTCAGCACGTCCAAACTTATTTGACCGTGGAGTCTCTTCTCCCTGCGTAACAGCCGTTAACATTCTGCTGCAGGACGTGCGTCCAGGCTCCTATGAAGCCACTTACTGAAGAAACTGCCATTCATGGCAGACCGAGGACCCACTGGTGGGATTGAGAGCCTCTCTAAAATGGTTTCAAAACATTTCAAGATTTGTCTCCCCTTCAAATTTAAAGAATCGTTTCTAAAGTTATTTAGGATCCTAGTCTAGAGATTTATCCCTTAGCAGATGGAAAATGTGTCATTCGGCGCATTCAGTTATTCGTACTCTATTCATACGCGTCAGCAATGGCACTTGGGTGGGAAGCATGGTGGAGAGCAAACGCTCTCATGAGGCTCTGAGTCGAAGCGGTGGAAAAGGGAGAAAGCCAGTAAGCAATTAAACAAGTAGATGTGTAATTACAAATTACGGTACGGTCTGCAAGGAAAATGAACTATGAGCTGTCAGACTGAGCTTAAATTTGCAATCATTTATTTTAATTGATCCAGATTCAGACGGGATCAATAGCAGCTGTTTTTACGGCCATCTTGGTACTCCGCTCAAAACTACAGCCTGAACCACTAAACACCCCTTCCTCCCGCTCTTGTTTTTCCAGCCAGGTGAGGCAAAATGAGAGCGCAGTGAGCCGGCCCAGCCTCTCTCCCAGCCGTCCCCGACGCCCACCATGAACCACTTGGAGGGGGCCGCGGAGGTGGAGGTGACCGACGAGACGGCAGGCGGGGAGGTGAACGAGTCGGTGGAGGCCGACCTGGAGCGCCCCGAGGTGGAAGAGGAGCAGCAGCAGCAGCAGCAGCAGCACCACTATGCGGGCCGGGCCCCGCGCGGGCGCGCTGTCGAGGGGCCCCGCGCCCAGCCCGGGCCGCAGGAAGACGAGGAGCGCGGGGAGTGCCTGGCGCGCTCGGCCAGCACGGAGAGCGGCTTCCACAACCACACGGACACAGCCGAGGGTGACGTGATCGCCGCGGCCCGCGACGGCTACGACCCGGACCGCGCGCAGGACCCGGAGGACGAGAGCGCCTACGCCGTGCAGTACCGGCCCGAGGCCGAGGAGTACACGGAGCAGGCGGAGGCCGAGCACGCTGAGGCCACGCACCGCAGCGCGCTGCCCAACCACCTGCATTTCCACTCACTGGAGCACGAGGAGGCCATGAACGCGGCCTACTCGGGCTACGTCTACACGCACCGGCTCTTCCACCGCGGCGAGGACGAGCCCTACGCCGAGCCCTACGCCGACTACGGGGCCCTCCAGGAGCACGTGTACGAAGAGATCGGGGACGCACCCGAGCTGGACGCGCGCGACGGTCTGCGGCTGTACGAGGAGGAGCGCGACGAGGCGGCTGCGTACCGCCAGGAGGCTCTAGGCGCGCGGCTGCACCACTACGACGAGCGCTCTGACGGTGAGTCCGACAGCCCCGAAAAGGAGGCCGAGTTCGCGCCCTATCCGCGCATGGACAGCTACGAGCAGGAAGAGGACATCGACCAGATCGTGGCCGAGGTCAAACAGAGCATGAGCTCGCAGAGCCTTGACAAGGCGGCTGAGGACATGCCGGAGGCCGAGCAGGACCTGGAGCGCTCCTCCACCCCAGGCGGGGGCCGGCCCGACAGCCCCGGGCTGCAAGCGCCAGCGGGGCAGCAGCGGGCAGCAGGCACCGTGGGCGGGGAGGCGGTGCAGCGGTACAACAAGGAGAAGAGGGATGCCATCTCGCTGGCCATCAAGGACATCAAGGAGGCCATCGAGGAGGTGAAAACCAGGACCATCCGTTCGCCTTACACCCCTGACGAGCCCAAAGAGCCCATCTGGGTCATGCGCCAAGACATTAGCCCCACCCGAGATTGTGAGGATCAGAGGCCGGGGGATGGAGACGTAAGTACGCGCAGGTTGCGGCCTGCTCAGATTTGCGTGTGGTCAGGCGGGGAGACCAATGCTGCGCGGCCTTGTTTGTCATTGGGAAATGACTTGATCAGATAAATGGCCTGCTGGGGATGCTAAAAATGTGTTCGTTCATTGTAAGCCTCAAAAATAACTTGCACTTAGGCGCGAGTGAAACAAGAGAGCCAGACTCCGAGAGAGCAGGATCACAGCTGTGGGGGAGGGAGGTTAGAGAGGGGAGGGATTGAGCAAAAAGGAAAGAGGACTCACGGAGTTGGACAACAGTGTGGTGATTGCTGGGGGAAGGGGGATATAAGGGGGCTAAATGGTAATGGAAAAAATACAATAAAATATTTAAAAATAAAAAGCAGCTGGCCACCAGCAAAAAAGAAACAGACACAGGTGGCTGGAAATCAAAGTGTTGAATATGCTTATCAGGCTTGAAAAGGATTGCTGTGCATCAGTGATTCTCAGACTGCTCCTAGAGCACTTGTTCAGAACTGGATTTTTAGACACACCCTTCACCCCCTGCCTCCCCACCCTCCATTCTCCTTTAGAAGGTCTGGGATGGGACCTGAGAATTTCTATTTCTGATGTGAAAAACAAACAAGCAAAAAAAAAAAACAACAAAAAACCCACCACAAGTCTTTATTGATCAAGGAGAGGCTTACTGGAAAGGAGTATTGCAAAGGGAAGAAAAGTACAATTGCAATGGGGGAGGCAGGGGGAGGGAGGACTAGCAGTAGAAACTCTGACTCTAAGATCTGCAAGTCTCTAGGGTTAGGCAAGGAAGGTATGAGAGGGTGGGAAGAAAGCATGTCTTGAATGCATTTGCAGATGAGAAAATGTTTTAACCTGAAACCAGCATATTATCAGGAAGGGCTGTTGAAGGAGGGGTTGTAGACTAGCCAAAGTTCAAGGACCTAGAGGAAGCAGAGAAGCTTACCCAAAGCTTGGTTAACAAATATTTTGTTCTGATTAATCCAAAGTTCAGCAAGTTGGAATGTGGAGGGTCTATGTCTGGCTTTGTCATAGGTAAATAAGGGGACACCTGTGAGTGAGTCTTATCTAAGTCATATGGGACAGGGGTTCTTTGCAGTAAGCTGTTTCCAAAACACAGAAGGGTGGGGGTGGGGGGTAGGCTCTTAAACGTTGCTGTTTTGTGGGCTCACAGGGTTCAGGTGAAGTTCAACATTGTTACTAACAAGTTCCCAGGTGATGTTGATGCTGCTGGTCCCAGGACCAGAATTGGAGAAGCACTGCTTTAAAGAAACCCCTGACAGGCTTGGGACACGGAGTGTGGCCTCTTCAGAGGAAATATTTTAGAGCGCTTTTCTGCCCGGAGTTTCTGCATTCTTTCACCCACTGTGCCTCACTGTGACTTTCAATAAGTGCTTAGTTTTCACTTCCGGTAGTATCAGGATGTCCTATTCGTGTCCCAAAAAAACATGATTTTGGCTTTAAACTGAATTATGCTTCTCTGTGAAGAGCTACAGAAAGCTATTGTTGTCCCTGTCAACATTATAATTTTTCATTTTTGAAATACCTAAGAAATTTGATAACATAGCAAGCTTGAGTGTTACAGTCTATTCAAAATAAATCAAGAAGACTAACCTTTGCCCCACTACCTAGTTATAAAGATTCCCGTTCTGCCCCAACTCTCACTTTCCCACTCTCTTGAAAAATTTTTAAGCAATTTCAATTAAAATGAGAGCTTGGAGTAAGACAAGGGCCAAGAGGTTAAATTCAATTTCATTTAATTCTTCATTTTATCATTGCACTAGACTACTTCTCAATATATCTTTTGGAGTAAGAAACCATTATTGGAAGCTGTTCATTTTACTTATACCGGAAGGGACATGAAGGTCAGAGAGGTATCACTCACCTCCTCTTTGAGTAACAATCAACATTCCCCATTAGCTGATTTTGTCTCTGGCACCTTGAAGGAAAGGCTCGAAACCTGATGGGAAAGAATCTGCATCCTCCCCAGCAAGGGGGCAGCATTGGGTCAGTTAGTTCCACAATGCCCTGTATCTCTTCTGTTTTCCAGGCTTTACATCCAAAAGGTTCAAAACAGATGTGCTCAACAGGTAGATTTCCCCTTAACTTCCAGCTGTTTCCAGGTTCCTCCCTGCTCGGAGGGAGGGATTGCAGCAAGCATTTTGCAAACGAATTAGAAATGGAACAGGTTTTCAAAAGTAGGGAGCTGGCAAGAGGCCTGGTTCTACATTCTTTTAGAAACTTGGACAAAGCCACAGGATCATTAAGTCCAGATGCTGGCCTCTTCCTTCAGCCTTCTCACATGAAACGACCAGCTCAACCATGCTGTCCCAGCAGCCTCGCAATGAACCCACAGCACAGCCCACAATAGGGTGGGAGGCTTGCCTCTATTCATTTACACTAGGACAACAACCCTCTCACAGAGTGTTTTATTCCGAAGGTAGAACTAATTATAGAATATTAGACGATGCTTTAGAAACCCATACTCTGAGAAATTCAGCTTGGTGCTAAGAAACTGGTAAGGCTTACTGGGTTAGGAAGAGTTAATAAAAAGCAAAACCAGAAACCTAACCTGTGCCTTAAAATATTCCCCCAGTTAGTTTTAAGCCATTTGAATTTTTGGGTTGTATTTCATCTGTCATGCCATAGCTGTAGGAAAGACCTTCATTCGCTACCCCTCTGATGGTATTATGGGGGAAAAATATAAGTATATACTTTCTGTTGATTTACACCTCAGCATCAAAAAATATTTACTGAATGCTCATTCCATGTAGAAAATGAGAGGCACTATTAAAAACAATGTGGTCTGAAGTCTGTCTCGGAGGTACTTGTTAAAAATACAAATTACTGCCTTTCCTTCCCAAATCAGAATACCTGAGCGGGGCCCAGCGGTCTGGGGTTTTGGGCTTTTTGTTTGTTCCGGTTTTGTTGTGTTTTGTTTTGTACATTTTCCCTGCGATTCTTAAGCATACAAAAGATTAAGAACCACTGATTTAAAGGGGAAAAAATGTGTCATCTGGGCTGTTTCCCCATTATACATCTGTGGATTTGAGCCTTAACTAATTTCATTAGCGCGGGCACAGTTTTAACAAAAGGGGCGTCGTGCTGCGGTTATGGTCAGCAGGCCTGGAGGAGGGACCCCGCGGTTCTGACCGTAAAAGCTGTGCATTCTCAACTGGCATGACCAGAAGCTGCAGTGAAGCACATGAAAAAACACCTGCATTACCACTGGCCAGAGGTAACTGCTGATACCAAAATCGGCTTTCAACACTCCTCTTAATTCCCTCAGAATCTGAGCTTTTTTCTCTTCACTTGGAGCAAACTGGCTTTTGCTTCCTGGTGACTTGTACAGAATGTCAAGATAGGATTACTCATTAGCAAGAACACATTGAACACATACTAGATGCTCAGTACTGAGGGGAAAGAATTGTTTTCTGAAAATTTAAAAAATGCTTATTAGTGCTTTGCTTTTAGTAAAGACTTTCTCTTTTTCCAGATGTGGGTTTGAACACTACCTAGCAACCCCCTTCTTGAAAAATATTGTTAATGAAGGACCAGTTCCCAAAAGTTCCACAGCCTCCCAGTCTCTTTTACGGCAACAAAGTCATTCTGAGTAGAGAAGAGTCAAACGGTAGGATCAAGAGGTAGATGGTAGCAGCACACAGCATTAATTGGAGGGTGTTGGCTTCTTTGGGTGGTGTGTTCCACAGCTTGAAATGGTGTTTATCTCTGTTTCCTCTTAGAGCTACACTGAAATAACAGTAAAATTTACTGTTTTATTATAAAATATACATATATATGTAAATTTATATATTTATCTGTCTCTTGGTGCTTGTGGATGGGGATATATATATATATGGGTGTATATATGTGGGGATATATATAGATATATATATCTCTATATATATCCCCGTCCACAAGCACCAAGAGACAGAGGAAACAGCGGCAAGCTGAGAGCAACATTTTGGAACATCAACGTGGTGACTGGATGTGGGGGACGTTAGTGCTCCCCAAATGTCCAGTTGTCCTCTTCTTCCTGCACTGCACTTTCTCCTCCCCTCAAAGCAGGCGTGGCCCATAGAATGGGAACAATGACAAGCGATGCTACTTCTAGGCAGGAGCAGATGAGAGCTGAGGTCTCTCCTCGAAGGCTCATGTCACAAGACTCAGAGCCTCTGTCAGCACGAGTCCCAAGTGACCATGATGAACAGCGCCCCCTGCTGACGCCGTGGGCATGCAGTGTGAGAGAGGAATCAGCTTTTGTTGTCTCCCGCCTTGGGGATCTGGGTGGTTTGCTGTCGTAGCATAGCCTGATCGATTCTAACAAGGACACTGATAGGCTTCTGTTTTATCTCCTCTGCTGAGCATCTGTAAGGATTTGTGCTGTGGACCCCCAAGAGTCTTGGGGATTTGAGACACCAGATCCCTCAGATGGCAGGAATATGGCTAGGGAAAAGGGATTCTTTGAAAGTCTGTCACAGGAGAGGTTGGGTTCCACATCCCTTGTCCAGCTCAAGTGGCCAGGTGACCACTCCTCCCCCAGCCCACAGAGGATGAAGCGAGGTTTACTGTAAGGAAAGGGTGAACCAGGGAAGAGCTGGAACGGGGCAGGAAGAGCCTTGTGGAACACAGGGCCTCCTGACCAGTGGGACTCAGGATGCCTTTAAGGTCTTAGCTGTCAAACTCAGGGCCCACCCAACCCCAGGCCCGAGCAGCAGATCAGGGTATTCCTCTCTGGGGAAAGAGGCCCTTGAGAAGATACCTACAGAGGCTCATGTTTGGGAGTTCCCAAGCTTAATACCTGGGCCGCCATCTGATCACCCCACAAAAGGTTACTGCCACACATGGGCTTTTGAGACATACTGTTAAATATATGTGGACATCCAAGGATCACCAGACATTTGAAGAACATCTCTAACATGAAAGACAAAGTCACACGCACATATGCACACACACAAAAGCAAATGAAAAAAGGAACTTGGAGAAGTAAAGGC